CGCGCGGCTCCTCCTTCCTGCCGCTCTCCAGCACCAGCACCTCGGCCAGTCCGTCGTGGGTCCTGCTCCTCACCAGCCCCGTCGGACCCGAGCTCTTCCCGTCCCCTTTGTTTTTGACCCCAAAAATGCTGGGCATGGTGCCACCCGATTTCCTTTTCTTGAATAATTTGAAGGCGGCTTTGTTAATCTTCCCCGACGGCGGCTCGGCGGCCGGCGTCTCGGCGGCACAGTCACAATGCAAGTCCATGTCTGCCGCGAGGGTCCCGGCCCCGGCCTCCGCCTTCCTCCTGCAGACCCCCGCGGACGCGCCAGCTCCGCCGCGCTCGCTGACAGCCCCGCCGCCGCCGCGGCTCCGGCTCGTCTCCATGGAAACCGCGCGGGCTGAGCCGCTGTCGTCAGCAGTGGGCTCGCGCCAGGCCACTGTCACCCGTGTTCTACATCAACCTGAGCCGCGCTCGCCGCCGCCGCTGCAAAAGAAACACACATAAAAGACCATCTTCCCTCCCGCAAGGGCTTATGTAATCCCCTAACCCACTTCCATCCGACTTGGCGCGGCGCTGCATGGCGTTTGTGGGGCACGAGCAGGCGACGCAGCCGCGAGCTGATTGCAGACATTCGAGTCGTAATGATGGAATTCAGATTCCCTCAACTCTCACCCACCTTCCGAATCCTTCTCCGGACTCGCTCTTCGCGGGAGCGCAACCGTGGATCCCGCAACGCCTCTGAAAACGACAGCGCAATTCAACCCAGCACAAAAACGCTTGCTTTTCTTATCCTCTCTCTCCTGGACTCCATGCGTCTTCATGCCTTTCCCAAGCCCTGCATGTCTGTCCTTAGCACTAGTGCACCAAGCGCAGCAGGCAGGAAGCACGTCTGCCTACATCCATGTCTTGTCCAGAGCTAAGCACACGCTAGGTCCATGCGGTGTGGCTGTCGTTATGGTTATGGTTCTTGTGACAAAAGTACACGGCACCACTCAGTCAGTGGATCAGCAGCCCGGCAATGCGCGCACAACAGCTCCCCGGGGTGGAGTTTGCCTGCACCTTTGGGACAACCATGAGTCTTATCCCAGACTCCAGCCACCATGGGATGAAGTCACTGACGCCGGGGCCCAGCCCACATCTGATAACAATAGACAAGCTGACCGAGAACACAGGCTGGGCATCTCAGACCCACTCCACAGGTGGGCCTTCGAGGCTGGGTTCTGCCCTCTCCTTTCCCACTCAGCGGGACACTGGCATTATTCCTGTCACTGCTGTACCACTGCCCTCCCCCATCCCACCAGGGCTGACTTGTAGCCCCCTTCCCCAACAGACAGAGCAGAAAAAGCTTGGCAGGGGTCCCTGTGTGTCCAGGGGTCTCTGCAGACATTCCTACTGGCCTGGCCTGGGGAGAGGGAAAACCTTTTTTCTGGAAACAGCCCAGTCTAGGGGTCTCCTCTGTGTTCTGATTGAAAAAGTGACTGCTAATATTCTCATCGTGACATCTGATTTCATAATCCCAGATGAGTGCTCCTTAGCAAAAAGAAGAAATTTGGAGAGGCATATACATATATTAATATAATGTATACAATAATATGTATATTATATATGTATATACTATATTATATATGTATATATGTATATACATATTATATGTAT